GTAGGAAGGTCTCCAGAGCCCCCTTCCCCAGCTGCCCCCGAGCCCCCCAGACCCACTGCCCAGGTCCCTGTCCCTGCAGAGCGTGCTGAGAAGCTGGGCCAGAACCTCACCAAGATCCCCTACAAGGACACCTTCTGGAAGGGGACCACCCGCACGCGCCCCAGTAAGGACAGAGCACGGCTGGGGGGGGCTCTGGGAGGGGGGCTGCAGCCTGCATTCCAGCCGTTTGGAGATGGAGATCCCACTCCAAAGGTTCCTTCCTTGAGGGTATGAGGGTCCCTCTGGTGCTGCCCCGGGCAGAGGTTGGCAGGAGGGTCCAGGCAGCCTCTGGCTCCATCTCCTTCCCTCACAGGAAACGGGACTCTCAACAAACTCGCTGGAATAGACTTCAAACAGCTGAGCTTGAGCCAGAAACTCAACGAGAACCAGTCAGGAGAGGTGGGTAGGGCTGGTGCCATCCCCAGGACACGGCTGCTGGCGGGTCTCATCCAGCCCATGCTGGGGGAAGGCACCTCCCTGGGGGTCCTGCTCCTGCTGGGCACTGCACGACACTGTGGGTATTGGTTCTGTGGGGACCACAGCCCTGTGGGGCTGTGAGCTGCGTGGGGACCATGTGTCCTGTCACACTGACCATCACAGAACCCCATATTGGTTTGGTGGGAAAGGACCTCAAATCCCACCCAGTCCCACCCCTGCACAGGCAGGGACACCTCCCAGCAGCCCAGGCTGCTCCAAGCCCCATCCAACCTGCCCTTCAACACCCCCAGGGATGGGGCAGCCACAGCTTCCCTGGGCAACCTGGGCCAGGCTCTCCCCACCCTCACAGCACAGAATTTCTCCCTCCCATCTCAGCTCCAGCTCCCTCTGCCAGCTGGAAACCCTTCCCCCTGCTCCCATCCCTCCCTGCCCTTGTCCCAAGCCCCTCCCCAGCTTTCCTGGAGCCCCTTCAGGCCCTGGAAGCTGCTCTCAGGTCTCCCTGGAGCCTTCTCTTCTCCAGGCTGGACACCCCAACTCTCCCAGCCATCTCCCCAACTGTTCCCCCCTTCCCCCCAGCTCTGGAAGGGGCGCTGGCAAGGCAATGACATTGTTATCAAGATGCTGAAGATCCGGGACTGGACAACGCGGAAGAGCCGTGACTTCAACGAGGAGTACCCGAAGCTGCGGTGGGTGCTGCCCCTCCGGGGCTCCCCGGGCCAGGTGTCACCCCGAGGAGCTACAGGACCAGAGCCACCTGGGTCCAGCAGCCCCTGGAGTGGGGCCAAGGGCAGGGGTCCACAGGGGGGCTCAGGGCTGGTCCTTCTCTTGCAGGATCTTCTCTCACCCCAATGTGCTGCCAGTGCTGGGTGCATGCCAGTGCCCCCAGCCCCCCAACCCTATTGTCATCAGCCACTGGATGCCCTATGGGTCCCTCTACAATGTCTTGCACGAGGGGACGAGTGAGTCTGGGCGGGGGGTGGGCAAAGGCTGGTGTCCCCGTCCTCCTGAAGTGGCTTCCCCATGTCCAGGGGTGGGGTGGTT